CTTTCTATATATAAAAAGTGCATATTTAACGGAATTTGTTGGTTTAACGGAAAAACTAACGGAATTTGTTGTTTTGACGGATTATGTAACGGAATTTCTTGTTTTAAACATGCAGCTCCACTTTCATTCAGTGTTTTTATCATAACTTTGTATTCCGATATTCGATTGAGTCAATTCAAAATGCGTTGAAAATATAACTCATTTGGTTACAACTTTGATTCAGACATCATTCTCCAATTCGACCGCTTTATATGCCAAAAATAGGTCTCAATATAATGGACTATGTAACGGAATTTCTTGTTTTAAACAGACAGTTGCACCTTCCTTTAGTGTTTTTATCATAACTTTGTATTCCGATATCTTATTGAGGAGATAAAAAATGCGTTAGAAAGATAACTTATCTGGCTACAACTTTAATTCAGACATCATTCTCCAATTCGATCAATTCCTATGCCAAAAATAGGTCACAATATGAGACAAAAACACCGGAGCATAACTTTTCGGTTGGAAATTGATTTGTGATCATCTTTTGACTAAATTTGATCCCCTTGACATCTTCCTTTATACAATTGACTCCGAGCACTCTCAAATTTTCATCGTGAGATTTGGCACAACTTTTCAGTATTTACATTTTAGCCCCCCGAACTTTGGATCCCTTACAATTTAGCCATTTCTCCAAATTTGTCTACTTTTTCTTATTTTCTTCAATCTCACCAACCTACATCACAATATCAAAATCACACATCTAATTATTTATTAATTACATAAACATTACATCATTAATTATTTATAAGGTGTCCGTTTCTGCTTTTCANGTCAATTTTCTTTCCTCCTTGACATGCCCTTAATTAACCAAAAAAAATTACATATTTACTAATAATAAATTAATTACTAAATAAAAATATTAAATATAAATTAAGCAAACGTGCATTGCTTACCCTTGCTATATATATCAATAAGATAAGAATAAGTCTACATGTACATAATGATTGTACATAGAGATGTACATAACACTCACAAGGGGATGGGGTCCACTCGAATATTTTATTAGAGTGGACCCCACCTATGTGAGTGTTATGTATACTACATAAATTATGTACACCAAGCATATCTAAGCATATCTCATAAGATAAATCCTAGTATCACTGAAACCACAAGAACAAGCACACTATCGACGGGATGAGGCCTCCTTGTCTACTCCAGGTAATTCCCCAAGGCATTCGGCTCGAGTAAATCGGATTAACTCCATTTGTTTTTGTTTTTTGTGTTATTCAACGTATCTGGCTCCTACAATTTCTCACAAGAAGCTAAATTTCTGTTTTGATTTCACATTATTCGCTTATACAACTATTGGGTATTACTTCGAATTTTTATTATTTTCCTGACTGCAATTGTTGATAGCCGTAAAATTTCAGTAGCGTCAATTATTGATATATCCTTGTGTTTTCGGCAGGCTCTGAAGTAATTCTAGTTGCGTACAAGCAAAATGTTAAAGCAAATGATGGCATGCTGCAAGGTGTACATATCTGAAAGCCGAAACAGGGCTTCATTGGAGGCAATTGAAAGGGCAGCCAAGCTATTTCCTGAGGCTCCAATTGTCAACAAGTTTGAAGACGAAACTTATAACAGAGTTGGGTACACCCTTGTGTCCAAATTGGTTCCATGTTGTACCCTCAAGAGTGCTGTTTTTGAAATGGTGAAAGCTGCTTTTGAATCCATTGATCTTGAAATGCACACTGGGACTCATCCTAGGCTTGGTGTTGTGGACCACATTTGTTTCCATCCCTTGGTTGGTATTTCTTTGGATAATGTTGCAGGGACTGCAAAATCTCTGGCTGCTGATGTTGGCTCAAGGCTTCAAGGTTTGTTCTCTTGAAACTAAGATTTTAAAGAAACACAGAATTTGGCTAATTTCATTTTATGTGTTAAGACTGTCATTGTTCATTCTTCATGATGTGTCAAGAGGAATCTAAATGAGTTCTACAGAAGTGGAACATGAAGATTTGATGCGCATGGAAAATTAATTTGGGAAATTCGTTTGGCTGTTAACTACTTGTAATTGAGTACTTGCAAAAACACGACTTTATGCATACTAGGGTGACCTTATTATTAAGTTTGTAGCACCTAAATCCAAAGGTTACACATCTCTCTTTTCCTTTCATTTGATTACGGAAAGAATATCTTTTTGTCCACAACTTTATCCCTTCGGGTTTGATGAGATCCATTTTATCAGGTTCATATACCTTTCACTATAAGTATATTATGGCATTGATTCTGATAAAGCTTCAGAATAAGAGATCTTTACTTGGTTCTTTGATCATTTGCTTACATGCTTGTGTGTATGTGCTTGTATTTGAGGCAGTAGGGATTTGAGTTCTGAAACTTGTTTTGCATTAGGGCGACGTGTGATATCAGAATTGTGAGAATTGACATATCCTTTTCAATTGTTAAACATTCACATCCCTTAGGATTGAGCGAAAATCAATAACTTCCTCTCTCTGTCTTCCGGCTTTTTAAATGATTTTAAACATAGCATGGAAATTAATTTGGGAATTTCGTTTGGAATGAATTTCGGGAAATTGTCCAAATGGTCGTCTTCCATCTTTATTGGTTTACTGCAGAAGAGGAATATGAATCGCTAACTCAATTGGTTTTTCTGAGATGGCAATTTAGAGAGTTCTTCGTAACTTATGGCCTCATTTTCATAGCACACATAAAAAACAGCCTATATAATTTAGGGTGATTGCAAACAGCTGAACACGTTTGACGTAGCATATATGTTTATGATCGTTTTTCGTTTAAGCTTTGCCTGCCTTATCTGTCCCTAGTGCATTATCTTCGATATACAGGTCCTCATTGAAGTCTTTTTCTTTGTGTTTAGACAGTTCTCTAAACATCTTTGAAATGCTATTGATGTGTTGCTTTGTTTTTTCCATATTAATTACCGCTTTATACATTTCTTTGATAAAGATTGAAGGCTGAAGCTTAAGTGCAAAATTACAAACTTCTAACCCCACTTTATTCACATCTTTGAATAGAACATGAATGCATTCATTCGTCAAAGTAAAGTAATCCTGTAGAAGATAAACGCGATATCTCAGGTCGAATGATTACTAGCATAATTGTAACCCCCTAATGACACACAAATATAACTCAATTAGTATTCTTGCGATTGTGTTATTTTAAGAAAGCAACTACATGTTTTTCTTAGTTCTTGGCACAATTGACTTGAAATCACTCGCTTTCCTCCAAGTGATCAAACATATCATGTGTTAATCTATATGGATTTGTAGGCATTACCGATCTTAGGGCTCGAATTCCTTCAAAATAGAACTTAGAAGTTAAGGTCTTCCATTCTCAACCTCTTGAACAAATCCTTTCTCAACTATAATTTTTGGACTTACTATAAAATAACATATGCATAATAAACTAAATATTTACCTTGAGAAAAATAATTTGTCTCAAAATGCTATTTGCATAGATATATCGTTTCACGACTTCATTTCTTGCTTTTAAGGCTTATTTCTATCAGGGGAAGGGGTCGTGGGGTTGGAATTGAGTGCTCAAACTTGGCAAAAACGTGACTTTTGCTATACTTGATGAACCTTAAAATAAGTCTGTAGCACCTCAATTACAAGGCTAAACATCTTTCTATTTCTTTTCATGTGATGAGAGAAAGAATAACAATTGTACACAGCATTATCCTTCAAGCTTTGATGAGTTCCAATTTATCAGTCATGCAGCTTTTGTGATGAGCATCTTATGTTTCTTATCGAATTGATTCCGAGTAAGCTACACAATAAGAGACCTTTACTTGGTTCTTTGATCATTTGCCCACGTGCTTCTGTATATACGTGTGTATCTAAGGCGGAAGGGATTTGAATGGTGAAACTTCTTTTGCATTAGATTGAATTATAATTCCAGAAACATTATTCTTTTTCAATTGTTAAACATTCACATCCCGAAGGACCAAGTGAGAATCAATATCTTCCTTTTTCTTTCGGCTTTGTTAATGATTTTATATATAGCTTGCACATGGAAATTAATTTGGGAATTTCTTTTGGATGTTAACTACTTGTGATTGAATGAATTTTGGGAAGTTATCCAAATGGTCTTCTTCCATCTTTATTGTTTTAATGCAAAAGAAGAATCTGAATTGCTAATCAATTGGTATTTTTAGAGATGGCAATTTGGAGACTTCTTCGTAACTTATGCTTCACTTTCATAAGCATAGGTAGAAAACTGCAGCCTATATATTTTGGGTCATTGCGAACACAATTGACATAGCATATATGTTTATGATCATTACGGGTTTAAGCTTTGTTTGCCATATCTGTGTGTCTAGTGCATTATCTTTGACATACAGGTCCTCAATAAAGTCTACTTTTTTTCTTGTTTAAACAATTCCTTGGACATATTTGAAATGCTAATTATATGTTGCTTTGTTTTTTCATTTTAATTATTGCCTTATATAAATATGATAAAATCTTCAGTTCACGCGTAAAATTACAAACTGTTTAACCCACTTTATTCACACACTTGATTAGAACATGAATACATTCATTTATCAAAGTCAATTGTCCCAAAAGCCTATTTACATGGAAATATTGTTCCATAACTTCATTTCATGCATATTCCAATAAGGGGAAGTGGTCGTGGGGCTGGAATTCAGGGCTCTAACTTGGTTCATGTAGCTTTCATGATGATTGATGAGTATCTTATGTTTCTTATGGCATTGGTTCTGACAAAGCTACACAATAAGAGATTAAGAGAGCATCAATATCTTCCATTTTCTCTATCTTTCGAATTTGTTAATGATTTTAAACATAGCTTGCAGTTGCTACCTTCTTATATGGAGCTGCACATGGAGAGGCAAGGACCCTTGATTCAATCAGAAGAGAACTCGGGTATTTCAAGCCTAATTCAGGTGATAATCAGTGGGTTGGTGGGCCTAAGTCAGAGTTTTTGCAACTGAGTCCAGACGAAGGACCTCCTCGAGCAGTTCAAGGCAAGGGTGTTGTCGTAATTGGAGCAACCCCATGGGTCGATAACTACAATGTACCAATATTCTCTAATGACATAACAGCAGTTCGTAAAATCGCAAAGAGAGTGAGTGGTAGATGGGGTGGACTCCAATCGGTGCAATCTATGGCACTTGCTCATGGTGAAGGTATAATTGAGGTAGCCTGCAATTTACTAGAACCAAGTAGAGTTGGTGGCAGTCAAGTTCAAGTTCAAATTGAGCAGCTTGCTAAGGAAGAGGGTCTAGAAGTTGGGAAGGGGTACTATACTGATTTTTCTCAAGAGAAAATAGTTGAAACTTACTTAAAGCTGAGTCATTATTCTGACTAATAAGCTACATGCAAACATTTGTTTATTATTATTTTCAAATTATATTTTACCTCAAAGTCATGGACGTTTCAATAATTTTGTTTAGTATGAACTGCATAGTTGGTTAATCAAAACGAGCCACGCAGCCCAGCCCAGGTGTGGGATGTCCAACCCTGTTAAAAAAAGATCGAAAATAGCTCGTCTTGCTTTGAACCACGGCCTAAAAACAAAAACAAAAAAAAAAAAAGAAAAAAGAAAATACTATCTTTTTTTCCCACCTACATTTTCTACACAATCTTTCATAAAGTTGGAATATAGTAAAATCTATAATGATGCATCTATTATTATTAGTTAACTCTACTTATAAGTTTTTTGTTTTAATAGTTCACAAATTATTAAATGACATGAATATTCATTTTTTAATTGTGATTCAACTTTAAATTTCCCAAAAGTTATGGCTGGATTGGTCCAAATATTGGTGGGATTGTGGGTAGGTCTAGTCTTACATTTGGAAGGTGATTGGGGCTAGGCATCAGGCCCGTATTTTTAGATGGGCCAGTTCAAGCCCAAAATGGACTTGAATCTGATTGTTGATCAGGTCGATTCATTTATTTTGACACCTCTAACATAACTCAATATCAAGAACCGTATGTCCAAGATTTATAAAAAGAAAACTTAGGAATACTAGATTATTTTTTCTTTCCCTATCTTTATTTTTGTACTGTAGGGCATCCAATAAGTTATCAAGAAAATGGGTTTTACAAAGATCATAATTTGATCCATTCAGATCCATCAATAAAGCTGAGTGAAATAAAAGGCTTGGCTTCTTCATCTGTAAGTTCTCTTGACCATGAAACTCTTCCTGCAAACCTGGCTCCTGGTCCACTGCATTTGTATTGTCCATAAAACACAGTCCTGCATGCCACCAAAATAAAGACAAATTAACAACATTACATATAATAAAGTGACAACATTAAGGCCAAAATTAGTTAGGTACAATAGTGCATTGCAGGTAGATTAGTTACATGAGACAAAAACAATGGACATTCATAAATAGTTTAGAGTCATTCACACAAATATAAGATTCTGTGAGTGGATATATATGATTGTCCCTTTACATAAAGGGTATATATAATTGTGAAAGAGCAGTTAGTGCTATTAGCCATTAAGAAAAAAGATAGAATTATAGGTACAGACACCCTTCTATATGTGGAGGTTGAAGAGTGGAAAGGTGATGGCACCGTCCCACGCCCAAAATGAAAGATAAGTAGCAGTAAGTTGGTCGTCAATCTTTAAAAATGAGCAAGTTGATGTTGAACTTTTCATTATAGTTCGGGAATTAATGATCCCTATGGCAAAAATTGTCAAAATCCTTCGTTAAATAGTCATATGTAAGGTCAGATGACCTTTACATGTTCAACTTTATTTAGTTTACTTTTGTTTCCCAACCTAGGTTGGCCTGAGCACATGCCATCATAACAAAACTTAAAACACTTTTACCATTTGGGATTGATTGTGCATCGATAATAAAAGGTTGAAAACTAACTTGCTCACTTTTTAAAGGTTGACGGGTAGTAATAAGCTTAATGCTCGAGAAATAAGTTGAGGACCAATGCTGAAATTTCTAGTAAAGAAATTACGCACTTTCGAAGTCAATACATGTTCTTTTAAACAATATATGTGTGGATCTAAACAATCAATTTATAAGGATCTTCGCGACAAAGAGTTTAGAGCTGGTGTAAAACTTTGATACTTTACTACAGTTTTGAAGCGTCAATTTTTAAACGAACTATAAAAAAATGACCTCTTGGTTGGTATTGTTTGTAAGGAGCGTGTTACTTATTTTGACAGTTACGAAAGATGAGTACCTAGTCGGGTAAACAAACGTATTTCCCATTAAGTAATTTCCTCAACAAATATTATGAACATGTTTTGAGCCCCATTTTTGTCCAAAATGTATTTTGAAATAATATTTTAATAGAGAATGTGTGGTTAAAAAATAAGGAAAAAAAATTAGATTTAAATGTAATATTATTTTATTAAAGAATGTGTGATTAAAAATAAGAGAGAGAAAAATATATTTTGAAAATAACGAGGACCAAACAAGGGCAATATCTGTATTTATAACAAAAACATAAAAATAGTTTTCTTTGGGATCTTGAATGTGAGAAATAAGATGAGATCACATGATAACATTTGTAAATGTGTGGGTAGGATTGGGGTGGGTGGGTAGGTAGGTGAAAGTTAGAAAAAGAAAGAACTTACATTTCTCTAGTGGGATCACCCCAGTTATACCAGCCCTTGGGAATTATAATGTTGTCCATATATGTATATGCAAATATCACTCTTGAAAAAGGACCCCATGCCCTTCCAAGGTACAAAGCCCCTGAACCCGTGACCTTACAGTTCACAAATGAGAACCCAGTGTCATCTAATATACTGCTTCTTCCTTGTGCTGTCACTGCCCCTATTACTGGTGCTATTGCATGCACCTGACATTTCTGCATAACGAACCAAGACTCGATAAGACTAAAAAAGAGAGACGTGATTTTTTTTTTCCCCTTTGAAGTTTAGATGTCGAGTATTATGCAATTCAGCTTACTAACGATGATATGATAGAATGTTACAAACCAAATTTCTTGAACAATCTTCTATAGTTTGTCTTTTAGTCCTCTACATAGTTGTATCACATGTGATTTGTCATGATGGTTTTAAACTCATAATGTTGAGAGATAAACAATGAAAACGACAGGTAGGAAACGTCTTTTTATGCTTCTCGGATTCAACACGTGTCCATCGGAGTCTGAAACTCGATTTTCACGTCTATAGAGGTACCGAAAAGGAGCATATTTAACAATCTGTTTTATCTCATACTTTCAAGTAAAAATCTTGTGTATTATGATATTTTGATATTGAAGTTGTACTTATTGAAGCCAAAGCACATTAATTACTTTTTTCAAAAAAAGTTCATAATTTACCTCAAACAAGGAGAGGCCATTTCCAAAGATGAAGTCCACAGAGCCCTCAATATAGCAATCTTTGTAATAATGCCTACCAAAATGATCATAAAGTGTGTCCTGTGCACCCAAAAACTTACAACCCATAAACGCTGCTGTATCTGCTGAAATTCTAAATGCCACTGCTTGCTTTCCAATAGCTCCTGGAGCTGGCACTGGCGTCGTATTCTGCATGTATCATTTGATTAAAAAAAAACTCGAGTTGTAATAAGGGGCTGCTTAGAACTAAATTTGAAAAGATAAATGTATCTCCGACTAATCATTTTAGCTTTTAGACGAGATGATTTGTCTGACCTTAAATGTAATATTCTTGGCTATGAAGTAGGGTGAATTGACAGCAAAAGTTGCAGAACCATATGTACCAAGAGCGTGCCCATTTGGCCCCGGTGTTTGAGCTGTATCACCCCATTGAACAATTGTTTTGTCTGCTCCTGCACCTTGTATTGTTATAAATGATTTAAATGGTGGTATATTTACCTTCTCCCTGAAAGTATTGCATTTTCAACATAAATTTTCTTCCAAAATACAAATGATAACAAGAATTAGACAAAAAAAAAAAGCATAATAATGACAAAGAAAGGACAAAGATACTAGTCTCATAACATGTTGATGAGAAAGTAAAAAAAAACAAACAAATAGGGACTATTTCGCTATGTTCTTGGCACAGCTTGATATCCATCCTTTTATCACTCAGAATCTAGTCAGGAATCCACCCCAAACTCAGTTTCTTCGAGCTCACCCCCCTTCAAGCATGCTTATGCGTTATCCATCCATTCCACAGGAATGCTCTATCATCGACTTGAACTTGAGAACTCCATCTCTAATACCAATTAATGTAGATTATTGACGCCACTTTACCTAAAAGCTATTGCTGATCATGGTACTGATACAACCATATCACCTAGAACCAAGTATGGGAATCAACCCCAAAGCTACTCCCTTTCGATCCACCTCGTTTCAAGCATTCTTCTGCATTACATAGCTCATGTAGGAGAAAACACACACACACACACACACACACATATACTCACTTGTAAACTCCTGCATGAACCTTGATCAAAACTCTCACAAGATTGACCATAGGGAGAGAATCAATGGCATGCTGAATTGATGTAAAATCTCCAAGTGCTGGATTTTTATCAACAGTAAGTTTGTAAGAAGGGAAGATTTTATTTTTGGCAATCTTGAAGAGGGAATGTTTTAAGCTACCAACAAAAGTAACCCACTTCATGAATTGTTGTTCTGAGAACTGAACTTGTGTCATATTCACTGATAACTGCTTCCCAGAATTTCTCTTGGGTTTCATACCTTTAGTGTGGCACAATACGGTGCTTGCATTCAGAAGAAGAAAAAGAATGAAAATTGGTTTAGAGGACATATTTGAAAGAGAAATGAGAATAATGGGACTGAAACTGAAAGAAAATGTGTTCTGGAGCTGGCAAGTGCATTAGAAACTAGTGAATTCGTGGCTTATATACGAGTGAATTTGATTAAATTCTGTTTTTGGAGAATCACGACGTGGAAGTTGAAGTCACGGGTGCTTCCACTGACAAAAAGGGGTGGGGGTGGGGTGGGGTGGGTGGTCACAGGCAAAGACCACAAAAGAGGTTCCACGGAATGCACTTTTTGGCTTATAAAAACGTTTTTATATCCGTGATTGTTCTGTTTTTTGTGTGCAAAGGTGCAACTATTCCCAGCCAAACTTCAATTTGTCATTTGAATTAGAATAAGGAATATTGGAGTGGAGCTAGTGGTCGGAACGACGTGTAAAAGTGGCTCGAATTTTGGGTCGTCTATAGAGCTATGTCGTGTCATGGCCCTTGGCGTGTCAGGGTCGTGTTGTGCCGACCTAGGTTTTTATAGATAAAAAGTTGGTGTCGATAAAATATATTCTCGACATAGTATGTAAAGAACTGAACTTTGTAAAATGTTATGAAGTGTCAACAAGGGCAGAGAGGAGGCACATTCAAAGGAATCTAGAAAATCACAATATGGAAAAACATAAATTAGATGAAGTACCACTTTATTAGATAGATTGTCCGTCACAAAAATATGGCTGGTGCACGATTGCAATTAAAGAATCTAGTTTATCCATTATCGATTTAGACAATAAATTAGAATCATGCTAAAATAACGTAATGGTTAACATAATCCTTAACATAATATCACGTGACATCTTATAATCGAATTATTTAAAATACAATCAACTTTTACAACCAATCATATATTGCCAACACTTATATTAAGGAGTTCACTGCACCTATATTGATAAATAAAATGATTCAAGTGCACGTGTGTAACTAACTACTTCAAATCAATTTTATTAATAACCAATAAGAGCGTACTTGCGGTTTTACATAGAAAAATTGAGAATTATTCCAAATTATGATCAGGTCAGGTTGAAAAATCAAATATTTAGAATCCATTAAATATACCAAATTTTCCAGTTTCACCTCCAAATTGCCATCAAATGTACTTTTATTTTTATTTGTTGGTGGTGAGATTATGATATTTATCCAACAGAACAAATTCTCGCCCTTCGTCACCGAAAACTAGTTGTTCCCTTGAAATAATATTACCTTACAAGAATATGATGAAAGAGTATTAATCCAAGATTGAAGGGAATGGAGTGATGAAGGCTTTTCACAGAAATAATACCAAATCATAATGCAAACTAGTTGGAAATCCATGCCATCACACCACAAAATGGCAAAATCAAGGCTTCAATACCCTTAAAGAAAACTCCCACCTTCTCTATAACACACACTGTGTACAGTAGTGAAAAAGCTCCCAACAAAAACTGAACCATGATTTTTACCAAAGCCCAGGAGTTGTGGTCATCATTCAGCGTCTTAGAGATTATCTACTATACAAGTATTTTGACAAGGGAAACTTCAGACTCCTTGCTACCTGTCAACCATTTGAAAACACCACATAGCACATTAACGGAGAGCAAATGAAAAGTTTGCTTATAACAACTGCCTACCGGAAAATTACCTTTAAAGCCATATCCTCGGAGACTGCTGATCTATACCGAATTCCACCTTCCAATGGGCAGCTACCTCCTTTGGTGATGAAATTAGCACTACATAGACTAGATAATTGCAGCAGAACATCAGCCATTAGTCCACTATCCCAACCATCGGTTCCTAGTCCATCAATTTGTGGCACTTCATCATTGGGTGAATATTCTGCAACAGAAGAGATACACTGAAATATTGCTAAAAGCCTTTCTAACGGAAAAGTTCCAGGCCCTTTCATGAGTAATTCTTGTTCTTTACTTTCCTTCTTCTCCATTGATTTTTCAGAGCTCCTGAGTAGCATAACCAGTAGAAAATATAATCAAATTACTTTCTTACTTTTTGATGCATACCAATATCTAGCAAACCAATTTATGTATCAATGTCCATCATCCAAAATCAAAGAAGAGCAGATTACACATCTGATTATCGACCATGGATGAGGCTGGTTTTGTAGCAAGAATAAAACCAAACTATATCACTATCTAATTTTATTACCTCCTTTATTTAGCTTAATCATATCTTTTATTTTGCTTGTATCCTATATAAAGTAGTGCAAAATCATGGTAATCATCAGCTTGATTTGAATTTAATAAAAAATATTGTTTGAGATTTTTTGTATCAATTGTTCGGTATTCAATCTTGAATCAACGAACTTCGGATTATCGAATTCCCAGGTATTCCTAGAATCAACAGGTCTTTGAACGTGCTCTTTGTTTCTAACGCGCTTCAGCCTGAGTCATGTTTGCTTTTAATTTTTAGGCAGATAATATATCATACCAGTAATGCCATGTCAGAAAAAGGCAGAGCTATAAATCTAAGAAAATTTTGCTAAAGCAAAACAAGGATAACTTTTTTTTTTGGGACAAACAAGAGAAACACAAGTCACAGCCTCACATGTATCAAAATAAGATAATATACCAAGTTTGCTAGTAACTTACTTTCTCTTTCTTTTTCGATTGCCAGATCCTCCAGTTGAATCAAAGAGTGAGGCATCAAGTGTGGCTGGATTTCGTGATGCAAGAAATGCAGAAATAAGCAGATACTTTGCACAAGTAGACATATGGAAGTCCATCTCATCTAAAGATTCCCAAAATCCAGGTTTAGTAATGCCCTTCCTCCTGGTCTTGTCCTTGCTGGCAGAGGCTTTGAGTGTAGGTTGAGAAGGAACGTGAAAAGTCTCTTTCAAGGACTGTGAGATATATGGATTAATATGTTTAAATAGTTTTCTCTTTGTATCTTCATTAGGAGTGATCCCCGTGTCATCTAGCGGTTCACAATATTTCTTATATAATGGTGAAATGGCAGTAGTTACATCATCAACACGCCTTGTGATTCGACAGAAAGGTCTCAACACTACACTGCTTAACAGGAAATGTAGAAAAAATATAGTTAGCTTTGAATGAACACTATGATAAAGGTCAATGACAGTTTGAGAACAATTAAAGAAATACTAGTGTGGAACTTACTCAAGAAAAGAGGAATATAACTTGGGATTTGATTGGTTTTTCATGAATATCTGGCGCAGATCATCTTCAGTGTAATCAGGAAAATAAACAGGGAAAGACTCAATACAACCTGTGTCTGAGTGATACGTATCAAGTGAGGTTTTACTTATGAAAATCAAACCCACCTCTGGCATTTTCAGAATATTATACAAGTTAAATAAAAAGGGCAACATATTTGAACTCTTATCCCATTCTCTAATGTGCTCTAAATTATCAATTATCAAGTAAATCATTTTCCCGTTAACTTGCAAAGCCGATTTCTTGGAGTTAGATTTCCCCAGATCACCTTCGAGCCTGTCTATAAAAGTACTCAAAGCATCATGTAAAAGATTTACAAAATCAGACGGCTTTTCACAGCGCTTTGCACTTGAATATCCATTGTTTTCATGCTTCCTATGAAGTAAAAGCTGGTTCAAGATAGATTCAAACAGTATCCGGGTGTTGTAGCAGGTGATGCAACTGCTATAAATAAATGGGCGCTTCAAGTGCTTGAAAATCTCAAGTACCGTGCTTGTTTTGCCCGTTGAAGCACCTCCATAGACAAATAATGGAATCATAGGAGAATTCAAAGGGCCCAAAAGCTTGATCAATTCAAGAATTTGCACGCGCCTATGGGGAAAAGAATTAATCAACTCTTCGAGAGTTAGAGATTCATCACTGAGCACAAGGTCATTTACAGTCAAAGATTGTGTATTACTAATGATTTTTGAAACCTCGCCTGCAGTTTTAGAATTTGGGGTAGTACAAGAGGATAATCTTGTAATTCTTCTGTTAACTTGCGGGCTTTCCTCTCTACCCGTTTCTCTGAATCCAGTTGGAAGAAAAAAATGAATCTTTCACTAATTACAATATTAAATAGAAGCACAACGTGAAGTACAAGGCAAGTGGAATGGCACAAAATTGGCTCAAGCATAAGGGCAGAAAAAACTGAAATAAAAACTCCTCTCATATTCTAACAAATGGCATTCAATCCCATCAACAAATTTAACAATTGTTATAAAGATAACAAAAAGACGTAAAAATTCAGAACCCACAAAAATGCAGACTATTAAAGCATGTAATTATGTGTTAACTATAGAACAGTAATTGCAGAAAAATACACAAGAATCCATTTTCTAGCACCCATTTGTCTTGTGTATTTCACCTGTTACACTTGAGGGGCAGCCAGTTTTCAAGTCAAGGAGAAAACCAGACAACCGCATAAAAAAATCAAGAGAATTGTTGCCAAAAAAATTACTGTTGCTAGAGGAAGATTACCATCAAGAAACAACAATTTTGGAAAAATAAATAAAATATAAGGAGTTGGGTTGAAATTAAATAATTCACAACAATCAGATGGAGTGCGACCTCAACACACAAAGCCCCTTTTGACACTAACAAAATCTGATACTACCTTCCAAGTTTGTTGATGAAGAAGTTGAGTAGAAAATGAACAGTTGATCTGTTACAATGAATTTTTCATGCAATCCCAATTAAAAATGGTCATAGCCCATATGCAATATGATAATTGCGTTTTCTAACGTGTATTTAGCAACATTACATGACTAATTGTTGGCATAAATGCTT